ATTGTCACAACAGCCCTTCAATCAACAACAGCAACAAAAAAACCCTCTGGAACTACAGCAGCAACAACCACGGGAGAAGCTGTCACAACAACCACAATAACAGAAAAACCCATTGTCACAACAACCCTTGAATTCACAACAGTCACAGAAAACCCCTCTGGAACAACAGAAGCAACAACAACCGCAGAAAAACCCATCACAACAAAGAGGGCATCGACGGAGAGGTCCACTGTAACCACTGAAAAGATCATCATAGCCACAACTACAAGAAAGTCTACAACCTCTCCAGCCACAACAGAAAAGCCCACTCTTGAAATTACTACTCCGTCATCGTCATCTCTTCAGTCTTCAGCAACAGGCAGAACAACTGTATGTTTCTGCATATTCAACGGCACAACTTCCTTTCCTGGTAAGCAATGCGCTGTTGTTGTCAGTTGTTGTCCATGTTGTCATTGCAACATTTTGGTCATATCTACAAGGGTTCTTCAAATAATTCTCAGCCTCACCCAGAAACAGGGAGTGTAACTCCCACTTTGGGGCATAACTTCTATTTTATAATGCCATATTTAACTGTCCACAAAAACTCAGATGTTTTTTTACCATTTCTTTTGGAAGAGAAAAAAGTTTCTAGTTGCTTCAGGATAATGTGCCCCTCCACACAGCACAGGTGGCACTTCTAGACTTCACAAAGTCAGATGGTACAAGGTCAGGTGAGTAAGGTGCATGGGGAACAGTTCAAAGCCACACTACTACTGCCACCTGTGCTGTGTAGACGGGCGCATTCCCTAACGCAACAACACACTAACTCGAAGCTTTTCTCTCCTTGGAAAGAAGTGATGACAAACATTTGAGTTTTTTGGACAGTGATATCACGCTTTATAGTATACAGTTATGCCCCCAAATGGGAATTTTGCCCTGTGTTTCTGGTTGAGGCCGAGAACTTTTTGAAGCACCTTTGTACACATGTCTTTACAACGCAACCTGGAACATCTGATCAGAATAGAAAAGGGCACCTAAAGTATAAGGTCCTCTCAGGTCCTATTTATACTGAGATATCATAATCTCCATTCTGAGGTGGCCTGCATTTAGGACCGAGGGCCAAACCTCACGCAAAATGTAGTATGCTAACAATCATATTCAGGGTTTATTCAGTTTTTAAAAAATGAGCTTTTGGTCCATATCTATGCAGTAGTGACTTACTAGTTGTCTTCCACAATGGAGGGATAAGTGACTGCAGGCAAATTTAGTCATTTCCAAGGTCCATGCCAGGCTTTTAATCCAATAAGTATAACAATTGGAATCCTACTTGTCCATTTGTAATGAATAATTTTGTTGAATAAAACATTATCTTACCATGGATTTCCTGTTTAAGTATTGTAAAAGCAAAAATGTGGTTAGACCTCACAAAAGCTGCATTATAACAACTGTAACTTGATTTGTCTTGTTGTCTCACATTGTTATTAATTTTGATCATGTGCCTTGGTTTTATACCCATGTAGGAGACTTAATCTACAACAAGACTGATGAAGCCGGCTGGTGTTTCACTGCGCATTGCAGTTTGACATGCAGTATTGAAAAGCAGTCAATGCCATGTTACGCTACTACTTCACCAACTCCTGCGATTACCACAACAAGTTCTGGCACTACAACAAGCATTGGTCAAAAAACAACCACTGGAAAAAGCACAGAGAAGCCTCCCACTGACTGCTCATATCTCAGCCCACCAAGAAAGGTATTTGTATTTAGATATATACTTTAATAAAATGAAAATAAAGAAAATTAAAAGAAATGCAGAAACATAAGAAAATACAGATACTGTCACTGTGTACTAGTACTTAATATTTGTATGAATGGCTTAAGTTTGTCTCTACTAGCTTGTTAGCCAGCTAACACAAGGTCGTTGATTCCTTTCGATAAAGCGTTTTCCATACTTCAAGTTGTCCTTCAAGTTGTGAGCAACAATGTCACAGTCAAGTGCAACAACACTCAATTCAACTGGCAATTACAGATTCATTTAAACTAGTAACTTCATGACATATAGCCTACACATTATTTGACTTATTTCCAACATAATTTATGTCCATCAGCTTACGTTGAAATGATGTTCAGCAGAGTTACACAAAGTTTATCCTAAAACTAATTCTTCAAACAGCTCAGGTGAAGTTTGTAACCCAAAAATACCTCATGAGAATCTAATACAAATCATATATGTATATGTTGTGAAATAGCATTCATGCACCTGGAGGTCTTAAATAAAATATTACTTTCACTTGTAATATATTGCTAAAAGTCCTGGTTTGTTCTTTACAGCATGGTGAGTCTTGGAGTGAGGACAAGTGCACCACAGAAACATGTGACAAAGGTAGAGTAATCAAAGAGCATGTCCCATGTAAAGTGGAACCCAAGCCTGTTTGTGAAAATGGAGAACCGCCTGTTCGGATTTATGATGAAACAGGCTGTTGTTTCCACTACGAATGCCAATGTAAGTTCAAATCAAAGCATTTTAAAGTATCACATTCAAGCAACATCTTTAAACTGCTACACATACAGGCCAAATAGACAATCTGTTTTTCTTTTGTGTAACAGTGTAATCTTGATCTAATATCTGCAGGTGTTTGCTCTGGATGGGGAGATCCTCATTTTGAGACATTTGATGGCAGATATTATAGCTTCCAGCACAACTGCACATACGTCCTGATCAAGGAGATCAAGCCCAAATACAATTTTACAGTTGTCACTGACAATGAAAACTGTGATGCTTCTGGAACTGTGACCTGCGTTAAAGCCTTGACTGTGTTTTACAAAAACTATGAAGTGATTCTTACACAGGAGAGAATACCGAAAACCGTAACCATGGTAAATATCACCTCATCAAATTGTTTTAACTTGTCTTAATATATTTAAATCATTTCCAAGGATGAAGACAACTAAGATGTTTTTCAGCTACTGTAAATAATGTTGTAACTGTTTAGGTGTTCATCAACGGCAAGCGAATACTCCCAAGCTACAAAAATAAAGACCTCATCGTCACAACTAAAGGAATTGAGGTGCATTTGGAAATCCCGGAAATTAAAGCATTTGTGATGTTCAAAGGGCTTTCTTTCTACGTTGAATTACCATTTTCTCTTTTCCACGACAACACCGAGGGACAGTGTGGTAAGCTGAGAATTGATTACCTGTTAAAATAATATGTTGAAACATGAATTGAGCTGCATGTTACGTTCATGACTTTAAAAATATGTGTACACCAATTAGCCACAACAGTATAAGCACTGACAGGTAAAGTGTAACATAGTTATTGTCATATGAATGCTGTACCCTCGAGTTAAACATTGTTACAGACCAAACACACCTATCCATGGAAACAGTAGTGCACAACACTAGCAGCCTACTCCAGCAGCAAAGGGTGTCATGCCACTCAACAAAAAATGCTCAGGAACAGCTTGAGGAACATAACAAAGTCCTCAAAGCTTTGACCCGGCCTCCAAGCTGGATGTATTACCAGATTGTAATCCGATCTAGCATTCATCGGAGGTGTCCCACCCTCAATCCAAAGTACCGAAAGGACCCGCCGCCAGTGTCCCGGTGCCAGACACACCCATCATGTCAAGGACCTCTGGGGGTGTCCTGTTGTGTCTGACACCGGGAACACTGGTAGGACACCCCCAGAGGAGCTTTGTCCATGACCCAGTGGTTCAGGGCTGCTTTGGGGACATGATACTATGTAATGTTATTGTTGTGGCTGATTGCTGGATTTAAACAGAAGGTGTGGCTATTCAATAATGAGACTAATGCAGTAATTTAGATTTATTTAGTGAAGTTTTAATTTATAAAAGAGCATGGTTCACACATGGGTGCTTTGGTTCTACTTACATGAGAGCAGTCTCTATTTATTAGCGACACCTCGCATATAAATGCTACATATACTGAGGAAGATTTCATGAAAAGAGGTCAATTTTCTAACCTCTAGAACACATTTTCTCTTTTACTTTCCAAATCGTGATGGCTATAACCTCCTTTTCTATCCATGTTTTATGCAAAAATATACCAGATGTACGTCGCTTTGGATAAAAAGCATCTGCTAAATGAAATTGTAGAATTGTGAAATCTTGAATTTTAATATTTCCTTTCACAAGGCACCTGTGACAACAACCAGGATAATGACTGCAGATTACGAAATGGCACGATTCATCAGTCATGCTATGAGATGGCACATGATTGGCAGATACACAATGCCACAAAGCCATATTGTGAAACTCCACCTCCTACAACCCCAACAACAGCACCGCCAACACAAACACCGTGCCAGTCTGAAATTTGTGAAATTTTGAAAAGCGCGTAAGGATTTACAAGATAAACATGAGCACAACATGTCAGTTCATTGTGCAGTATTGCTGGACTAATTTCCTTTCTTTTGTTTTGGACATTGTAAGGGTGTTTAAGGAATGCCACAAAGTAATTAATCCAAAATCGTTTTATGAGGGCTGCAAGTTTGATGCTTGCCACATGCCAAATTCCAACATAACTTGTTCCAGTCTGGAGGAATATGCCGCAAGGTGTGCTGAAAAATCTGTCTGTGTGGACTGGAGGAACGCCACAAAGGGACAATGTGGTAGGAGAGTGTTGTCTTTGTAGAAAGCAACCAGTTGTTTTTAAAGATGACAGTTTCTTTGCATTCTGATGGTAAACCCACTTTCTCTTTTTGTAGAGTTTAAATGTCCAGTAAATAAGGTTTACAAGCCCTGTGGGCAATTCGTTGAATCAACTTGCAATGAGAGGTAATCACTCAATTCTTTTTATACAATATCACAAATTCAGTATGTAATGTCAGTAGCTTGTATTTGATAAAAGTGAGCGTCTGCAGCTATGCTACTAACTCCAACAGTCCGCTTGAGTTGAGCTCAATGCAAACATTTGTATATTAGCATGCTCATTTGCACTCACATGTCAGCATGCTAACAGTAAACTAAACACAAAGTTCAGCTTAAGGTGATGTGAATCTACTTAGTTTTGCAGGGATTTGAACGAATTGAAAGTTTAATGTTGTAATGGCACTACATAGAAAGCTAAAGGGTTACCAAAGTAGTTCCAGTTAATCCTGAGGAGAATGTGACTGTCTATACCAACTGTCATGATATCCAATAGTTTAAGATGTTTCACTTAAAACTACAAATGTCAATTTCACTGGTGATAGAAAAAATATGTTATCAATGGGATTCATCACTTGGTAACCATGAATATCTTTACAAAATGTTGTTACAACCCATCAGACGGGTCCTGATATTTTTCAGCTGTGGTAGATTTTAGACTGAAGAGCACCTGAAGAGCAAGAACAAAGCCCATAAATGAGATATTTTGATGTGCAAGACTGGGTGTCTGTGTTGCATTGCACACATCATTTATCGAGTTATTCATATTTAGATACAATAAAAAGTACATGCAGCAGTGTCAAGGAGAAGAGGGTGACCAGAACAAGACTTGCGGTGGATTCACAGAAGGATGTTTCTGCCCAGAGGGAATGACTTTGTTCAGTCCAGATAACGACACTTGTGTCTCCTCCTGTAAGTCCTGTTGTCTAATTAGGTACAATCCTATGTGAATCTTTGTGAGTCTGTGACTACTCAGGTAAACTGCTTCTTTTTTATTGTTTCAGGTTGCATTGGATCTGATGGCGAGCCTAAACAGGTAGATGCTACGATACAATACAATACAAAACCTGCAACGGTTATATTTGCTGCTGGTATGACATTTCTTCTTTTCAATCCCTCAAACAGTTTGGAGAAATCTGGCAGAGTGACTGTCAGTACTGTACTTGTGATGAGGACACTCTGGGTAATCGGTGTCAGCCTGTCACATGCCCCACGCAAAAACCAATCACCTGTACCGAGGAAGGACAGGTGTTGGTGAACCGCACGGAGAACTGCTGCGAGAAACTGATATGTGGTGAGTGATTTCAGATACCATGCAATAAAATGTTTCACAGGAGCAGGTACGATGGGAATGGCAACTGATCTTTAAGTCCAATCGGTATTTAAACCTCTAAAAACTCATGTCTGCTCACCAAAATTCACATTTTTAAGTTTAGTGTCCCTAGGAATAATTTGTTTATGCCTTAACATGGCTTAGACGTAATTCAGCAGTGTTTGCGCATCTCTCTCTCCACACACCCCTCCCCACTCACTGCAGCTCAAGCACACCAGCTCATCTATGACTCTACTCAAACACTGTAAAACTACTCCACGCTACACAAAGGCAAATTGCAATATTGGAGTTATTCCAACCCTGTTAGTTAACCTGATTGTTTCCTTTGGTTTCTCATTTGCAGAGTTTAAACACATAGATCAGTTTAATCAGATGAAGTACTACTCTGCATCATGGGAAGTGTAGGATCCAGCATACCTGGAACTTGGCCCACGCTAGGGACTAAAAGCAGATATGTTGGCCTATGTTGCAACAGTTTCAAGTTTTTGGTTGATTTTTTGATTTGTAGGATTGAGTGTCCAACTATACAGAAGAAAAACACTCAGCTGGAGCAAACAAACAAACAAACAAAAAATGATATACAGAGAATTACATGGACTGCTGAAGCTTATAGGGAATCCAAATGTTTTGGATTGTTGGGTGTTTCTGTCTCTGCTTTTGTGAAGCGCTATGAGATGACTTGTTGTTGTAAATATGCACTATACAAATAAAATTGAATTGAAATTGAATGGCACTTATCCTGTGCCAAAGAGATATTACCATTATATGGGGGTCACTGCTGTATAATTCTAAGTTGAATACAGGCATAATCTGCAACATGTGACTCATTATGATGTTAAAAGACTGACAAGAGGATTTTATCACCTATACTAACCTATAGTCTATAGTAACCTACCTTCCAGAGGTGCCTGATTAATTCCAGTTACTACACATGACAATTTTTGGTTGTCTTGTTTTTTATTTTTATTTTTTCTCACAATGTTATACCAACAGAGTGCGATAAGAACAGCTGCTCACTGCAAAAACCAAAGTGCGACCTTGGATTTGAGTTGGAGATCCTCACCTCAAACAGTAGTTGCTGCCCTGTTCACCGCTGTGGTAAGCTCACATTTAAGTTTCATTTATTCATGGTATTTGTGTGTGAAAAGCTTCAAAATTGAACTCAGTTTTAATGCAATCACATTTGTAAACATTGTTTTATCTAGTACCCAAAGGTGTCTGTGTCTTTAACAACACTGAGTACAAGGTAAGGAATAACATACTGCATGTGTTTTATCAGGAGTATTCTTGCTTGTTAAATTGTCACTGTAAGTCTTTGTATGAAACTGGCTCAGCAGACTTTACATTATGTTGTACACAGCCTGGTGCGGATTTCTCAAAAAGCCCATGTGAACAATGCCACTGCACTGAAGCTCAGGATTCCAGCACGGAGCTGAATAAGTTTGAGTGTCATCAGATACAGTGTCCGAAGTGTCCTCAGGTACTACTGCATGGGAAATGCTTCCACTTATGTCAATATTTGTGATCGATGCAGTTACATCACTCCATCACATACTTCATTCTCAGAAATCTAAAAGACATGTGCAGATGGTCTTACAACAGCTGATGATGTATTGACTTTATGTCCAGATGAGGACAGGTTGGAAGATCAAAAATTTTGGAAACTGCAGCCTTAAATGCGAATATTCATTTTTGATGCTGGCGCAGAGAAAGTTAAATTTAAACAGTTATCCATGTCAGATCTACTAAGCAGTCAAACATGTTGGTGTCATTCACTTTGGTTGGAGACATCTAGTTGTTACATTTCTGCTGCAGTTAGAATATCACAGAGATTAATTAAACTTTATTTGTGTGGCTTATGCTGAAGAATCTGTGCACTGTTTTTACACTCTGTTTTACACTCCAGACTAACGTTGTGAAAATGTTTGTGGAAAATGATGCTGCTATAATATTTTTGAACAAAATATTGCATTTTGAACATCACAAACTTAGTTACATCTGTCTTTAATGTCAAAGCTTTGCATGTCTACCTAAATGTATGGTGGCAAGTGAGAAAAAAGTATCTTTAAAGGTACAAGTATTATATTAATATGACTACATGGTAATTACATACACATCTAATTAGCTGAGGTTGCAGACCATATTGATTTGTGCATTTATTTTTTTTTTAAAATAGGGCTTTGTGCGTGAAGTTCAACCCGATAAATGTTGCAGATGTGTACAGACACATTGTGTTTTGGATTCCGGCCTTCCAGCTCCTGTAATAATCAGTGTAAGTATAACATAACGGAAACATCTGCAGAATCTGTCTGTGAAGATTCTCAGTCATCCAGGTCATAGTTATTCTCGTAGATTAGTCGTAGCATCTGGGCTCACTTGAGTTCCTTGAAGACGTTTCACCTCTCATCCAAGAGGGTTCATCAGTTCTGACTGACTAGTTGGGAGTTCCAGATACTTCTATCCTTAGTGAGAGGTGAAATGTCTTCAAGGAACTCAAAACAAGTCCAGTTGCTACAGCTAATCTACGAGAATCTGCAGAATCTGTGTTTGTCTCCTGAATGTCAGGTTCACCTGAGTCCAGAGGGTATCTTTACTAACTGACCTCTACATCTACATCTCTGACAGCCCTCTCAGTCTTGGTCGCCACCAAATGACAATTGTACCCAGTATGACTGCCGGAAGGTGAACGATACTTTCACGACCTCTGTGAGCAAAACAACGTGTCAGGAATTTGTTCCAGAAAACTGTGTTCCAGTGAGTATAATCCAGCCATGAAAAAAAAAACAACAGAATATCACATTTTTACACTCAAAATGTGAATGTGACATGTGAATGACAGGAACTAAGGGTGAGTTTTTCATTTCTTCATTTTTAATCAACACAAACATCTTAAAGCAGTTTTGAATGTATTTAAAATATATAGAAGTTACGTACAAATAAACAGATCTGCAAATTGTCAATTCTGTGGTTAAATGAAAAATAACACATGCACTCAAACGTACAAAATACATAGTGCAATGGAAATTGGTTTGCAGTGTGTCTCCTCTTTTTAATACAGGTAAGTCATGGATGTGTATTAGTGTTGTCTTTCTGTATAATTTACAATATATTTCATATGTATTACAGGGAACTGAGAAGAGTGACATGAATGGTTGTTGCAAAACTTGTAAGTATAAATTGCTAAAGTTAATTCAGAGTATGCGATATTACATAATATTTTTTTAATATGACTATACGCGTCCATAAACCTCATCCACAACTTTTAAAAGTACATTTTATTTTTTATTATTCTATTTAAATAATTCAAATTAAATGTAAACTTTGATATTTGATAGATTTCTTTCACGTACAGATACTTTTCCCGTATTATTTCTCTGTTACTTGTAGTTTTTGTCTGGATGTGCAACAAATCCAGACCCAGAGAAGATGACTTCTTCCTCTTTTTTTTTTTTTTTTGTCAAAACACTGAAGAGAAACACATACAAATACTCATTCATGACAGAAATAGGGTTCATTTGGCAAACACCAGACAGTTTTGTACATGAACACAATAACCTGATTAAGTCACACAAGTCTGAATCCTCCCACATCCACCCATCCAGTAGTTCAGTGGTTCCATGAGCCACTAAAATGATTTGCCTGTAGTTGTGTTTTCCATGTAAAGAACTATTTATATGTCATTCACAGGTACTCCTCGAGGCAACTGTCAGCTGAAAAAGAAAACCACCTACCTGAAGACGAAGAACTGCAAGTCAGTTAAGCCGGTGGAACTCGGAGCCTGTGAGGGATCCTGTGGAGCGTCCTCGTCAATGTGAGAATTATGACAGTGTGGTTCAGTACAATCTGCTTACTCAGTCCTGCCAAAATCACCAATGAGACGGCTAATTTTTAAATGTCTATTTAACAGCCGTCTGACTCTGTCTGAACCTGTCTTTATCTGCAGGTACTCGGCAGACAGCAACGCTATGATGCATTCATGTTCCTGCTGTCAAGAAATGAAAGTCAGCAACAAGACGGTGGAGATGAAATGTTCCGATGACACCAGAAAGACGCACACCTACATTTCAGTGGACAAGTGCGGATGCGAAGTCGCTGAATGTGAAAAGCAAAGATTAGTGTAAAAACTACGAAAACCGACCACTGAGCTCGATTGAAGACAAATTCTGACCGATATGTTTTAGCAATTCCTCTTCAAGGCTATGAGACAATCAAAACTTAATATGTGAAAACCACTAAAGACACCTCTGTGTGCAGAAAGCCAACTAAGCTGAACCTTTAAAACACCAAAAGGGTTCTGGTCTGAACTTGTCTCTTTAGACTGGCTCCTCATACGTTCACAAAACGTTCTCATCCATTGTCTGGGAGGCTTCATGTCCCACCATCACGGCACATATTTGAGGGATGGTTTGTCTTTTACCTTTCGAAGAAGCAATCGATTTAAACGCTGTAGAATGTGGTGTTTCAGTCTTAAAGGGTCTTTTGTTCTCCTCCTCTTACTGTTAATGACAGACAGATATGGCTTCAGTTATATAGTACATTGTAGCAATACTCTGTCTTTTCTTTAGTTTGGAAATCAAGATTATAGAAAGCTAAAATACGACAAAATTAAAAGATGGATTGGATTTTTAAACTAGTATTAGCCATTATTAGTGATAGAAAATTATGTAACAAACCATTGAGCATTTAAACATGTTAAAGGATGTTCAAACTTTCTTTATCTAATATGTGGTGTTTCAAACTTCTTTCTTTATTGTCATTAAAACCCAGGTTTACTGATCATCCTGTGTTCATGGTTTTATTTATTTCCTGTGTGTTTTGTTACCTCGATTTGATAATTTTAATTAAATTAATTTGTTTTTAGCGCAGCTAAAAAAGAACAATGACTGTCCAACTTCTTATGAATAGAAATCATTTGTGTTGGTCAACAGTCCAAAAAGGGTCTGAGGGACATTGATTTTAAACATGAAAATCCTTGATTAATACATGTTTAATCCAAGGCATTACACCTCAGAGAGTCTTCATCAGGGTGTAGGGTACAGCGGAAACAGGAGTTGCATTTAAAATTCCATAATATGGAAATTCAGCCACTTGAAGAACCACAAATAAGACCTTAAAACTATTCTTTGTCTTTTTCACAAATTTGGGGGATGTAGTATCTAATAAGGAACACATTGGTTCAAGCATGGGCTGCAAGATGGCTCGGTGGGTAGCACTGTTGCCTTGCAGCAAGAAGGTCGCTGGTTTGTATACCAGTTGGCACACAATTTTTACGCATACCTTCTAAACATCAATTATGTTTAGAAAAATGCTTCCTATTTCCTCCCTACATTTCTGAGACATAAATGAACAGAGGGCTGCAAGGTGGCTTGGTGAGGACACCGGGAGTCAGGAAATGGGGTTTTGGGCTGTGTTTGTGCGATCCATCTCCTGCAGTTTTCCACCAGAGGGCATCCTGGAGAAACACTGTTGTGCTGTTGTGTTTCCACACACCTGTGATGCATCAGGCTCGTTACTCCCTGGATTTAAGGAGCTGGTTGCTGGTCACTCATTGCCTGAAAGTTAACCTATGTGGTAACATCAAGCCTCCTCCTGAGTTTTTCTTGTGTTACTTCCTGAGCCTCTGATTAATTGTATTTCTCCTTCTGCAAAGGTTTTTTTCTAGTGTACCCGCTCCTCAACAACAATTTTAAGTACTACCATCCTTTAGAACTTACACACAGTGGGATTACAGTAACTATAAAGCAGGAAACCAGTTAAATTTGATCAGAAATGTACAAAGTCATAAGGATTTGTTCTCTAAAGCATCTATTCCTCAAAGCCCTACCTGTTTCCCATGAGTGTACTCATTTAGCCTTCCAGTAGGTGGCACACTTTTGCTACAAAACAATAAGACAGAGGCGGGAACAACATTTACACACTTAATAATATTATACACATACTAATACTTAAATGTTCAGAACACTAGTGTTACCGCTCAGTATATTGTATAGAGATAAAGTCTCTGATCTGAGCTCTACTGCCACGGTCTTCTCACAAATAACTCAGTCACTCAGGAAACGTTTTTAGGTTTTATGTTAGATGAAGACAAGCCCTCACAACGACACCTGACCTATCCAATGCTCTGTTTCCTGCCTTATGGGGTGTCTAACCAGGGTGAGGCATCTGTAAGGGGTCCTTTCAAAACAGGCCTTTTGATGTTTAGAACCTGAATTTGGCTTTTCTGGGTTTAATTTCTTTATGAACTTGCTAGTACACAATTTTGCCAAAATCATATTTTTCACCACCTCTTTATAGCCACAGAGCAAATGGGATCTGTGTCTATGTTAAGCAAGACCATGAAGGAAGCTGTAGCGGTGCATGTGCACTAATAGGCCTATCCAAACACAGGCATAATCACACTATGAAAAAACAAAACTACCTAACAACCTTTTTTTTTATTTTTTTTAAAATTTCTAATCAAAGCATTCTCAATGTATAAACTACAGTGCTGGGTAAACATACAGTATAAAGGAGCAGCACGCTCACAGGTGATCTGTGTGGATAACAAAACAGTGGATTTTAACTCATTACTTTGATTTTAACGTTAAACCTAATGAATTTAGGCTGAGGTGCTAGGCTATGCTTGGAGCAGGAAGTAAATCCAGGGTTTAATTTTGGACACAGCTGCTTTGAGATCATCCCTGACTGTGAGGAATGATCTCTAAAACCCAGTGATATTCACACACCGCCCCTAATGAAGTTCCTCTTCGTTACACTGACATTTAGTTGTGTTCCATATTTGTTGATTTATTAGTTCAGGTAAATCATTTGGCAACCCCTCCTGCTGGTGTCTCGTTACTGCCCAGGGAACAGTTTGGTGAGCTGAGCCATTCTTTTACTCTTGTTTTTTAATTTAGGGACATTAATTTTTAAATGCCGCGTTCACTTTATCAAAGGTCTTTACACAGTCTGCACATCAGAAGTCTGTGTGGATTCAATTCTGGCTCCCTTTCATTGCTTTATACACAAAATGCATTGAGTGACCACATCTTTCAGATATTATTCAAACTCATCCACCACCGAACCTTTGTTTACTTGCACCCACATGTAGTAAAAAGCAGCACAATGCATTCTTTTTGTTAGAATGGAGTTAAAGCGAAATAAATAAAGATACTTAAAAGACAGTGCTGATGCATGTTTTAAAGCTTCATCTTTTTAGTGTCGTTTCAGGTCAGTGTGTAAAGAGAGGCAAAGTTGCTGATTGGAAGACCTTAATATGTGCATCAAGTGTTCTCAAATAACACTGCAGGCTTTGGAACATTACAGATAGAAGCTCCTCCAAGAGCAAACATGGCTTCGGACAACTCCTGAGTGTAGATGGCTGTATGATAAGGATGAATTTCTCAGTCACAGCAAGCAATGTGTTTATTCAAGGAGGATATATTTTGGTTCAAATTACCCTGAGAAACTTCTGAATAAAGACAGGACTGTGCAAGATGATGTCACTATTGATATAGCAATATTTAATTTTGATCACTTGTTGTCAATGCACAAACACACCGACATGACCATTCAAATAGTAGTGTACCAGAATACAACACAGGCTTTTATATAGAAATGGGACAAAAAGCCAAACAAGGAAATGATAAAATTCAAGAATAAATACTCTCTAATATATTTTCATACAGGGCTGCAAGGTGGCTCGGTGGTTAGCACTGTTGTCTTGCAGCAAGAAGGTCGCCGGTTCACATCCCAGTTGGCACACTGGGATCTTTCCACGTGGAGTTTGCATGTTCTCTCCAGGTTTTCCGGCTTCCTCCCACAAGGTCCAAGGTGTGAATGTGAGTGTGCTTGGTTGTCTGTCTCTAAGTGTAGCCCTGTGATAGACTGGCGACCTGTCCAGGGTGTCCCCTGTCTTCACCCTGAGTCACCCTGGGATAGACTCCAGCCCCCTGCGGCCCTAGTGAGGATTAACTGGTGTATAGATAATGGATGGATGGATGGATATTTTCATACATCACTGGTAAATAAAACTACTACAAAGACAGCATTTTGTCTTAACCTCTCTTATGTGTTTGACTGAACTCTATGTAACATTTAAATAGACTTTAAATAGCGTTTATGCAGAACGGCTTGTACAGAGTTATGATACTTCTTCTATATATGTGTACCTCGTGTAAATTCATGTCAGATCTTCAAACTAAATTTAACATCAAACATCAAGGCAACCTGAGCAAGCACAAAATACACATTTCTGATGATAGTTTTATTTACTAAAGTCAAAAAGGTTATCTGATGCCTAAACAACCAATGTGACAAAGTAACCAATAGAGTTCAGGCTGGGATTTTGCAAAGGCCACTTCAGAACTTTAATTTATTTCATTTTGAGCCAACCACAGATGGACTTAAATCACATGCTTTTGGATCATTGTCTTGCTGCATAACCTAATTAGGCTTTAGCTATAATTCACAGACTGATGAACAAATGTTTTCCTTCAGGATCAAACTGCAGTGTCCATGTTTCCCTCAATTATAGCAAGTTGGCTATCAAGTAGCAAGATACTGCCACCTCCATGTTTGACCATAGGTATCATTGTCTCCTGTGCCACAACCAACTCAGTCAAAATGAGTTATTCACATTATGTGTAGATTCTCCAAAAGGTAGAGTTGTTTTCTCCTCTTTCTTTGTATAGTAGTCAATATGCTTTTGGCCCATAGTGTGGACAAAGAACCTCAGAAACATGTTTGAGTTTTGTGGAAGGAGCCAGACACACATTATCAGCTACATTTTACAGTATCAACACTCAGCCTTTCTGTTTGCTGTGTGTCAGAACAGTGGTTTCTGTTTGTATTACAGTGTGCAAAGAAGACATTGCATGTGCTCTTAGAACACGCTAAAACCAAACAGTGTATACTTTGATGGATTCTGTGGAAAGGCTGTTGACAAAACTAACATCCCGTTCGTTCTGACTAGCAGCTGACGTTACTTGTAGCAAACAAAGTAAGGACTACTGTACAAGGCCTTAAGACACAATCTGAGTTATGTTGCCAAGAAATGGGATAAATACATAGAAAACAAAACATTTTTTTATGAGGGGCCGTATAGGCCATAATTCATTCTCACACTCACACATGCACACATTTTAACTCTTACTTACATATATTCTCCTCACACACACATACATTCTCCTCTTACACATATATATTTGGACACACATGCATTTTCCTCATATACACATACATTCTCCTCACACATACTCAATCAATAAATCATGCATATACTACTATAATCACCTGCACATACACGTAAAATCAACTCTCACATAAACACACAAGCAACATCTCACATACAAACTAGTGAAAAGGCACATACATACTACTAAAAGCTCACACATACATACAAGTCAACCTATATGCACTTAAATGAGTGAGAACAGTCATGTATGTGAGCCTCCTTCTGCTTACTTTGGATACTCTCAAGCAGCAGCTGCTTAGACACGCTCCTGCAGTTGCTTCTCTCCACCCACAGGACCCAAAGGATCCACTGCCAACATCCTGGTGCCACAGGACACGTCCAGAGGTCCTGGTTCCAAGGCCCAACAGGTCAGAGCTGTTTTAGCAACACGATGTGGACCTACACAATGTAAGGCAGGTGGTTTTTATGCTGTGGGTCATTACTGCACAAAAAGTACATGACAAAACGACATATTGGTGCATCACTGTCAACACTATTTTACAAAAGGTAAGCGTAGAGTTATAGAGCATGACAAGAAAAGATATGACTCGTATTTCCTCTGAAG